AGAAGACGACAGAAGGAGTTTCGGCTGGACTTCGATAGATTTAAATAGCATATCTATAAGACGTCAAGGTTGTTCATCTGGTACGACGTAAATCCTCAAACTATCTTTTAGGACTTCCTACGATTTTATATCGTACGGTATAAATCCTAAATTTTTAGGATTCCAAAGTCGTTGTTCAGTACGACATAAATCCTTATATTTTTTTGAACTGTCTGCATATGACATGCAGACATAAGTCTCGAATGTCTAAATAATTTGTGGGATTGAAACATTAAATTTGATTTCCCTTTCAAAGATGTAAAGTCAAACCATAGGTTAGTTTGAGATGTCACTGAATCTTCTTCAGTATCTTCGACATCTCCTACTTTTCGCTCATTTGAATTCCAGAAATAACTGTTCCTATTCGAACCTATCCCACTTGATTTTTCCTATAAACAATCGTGGAAACTTAAACGTCGAATTCTTGAAGATGAAACTCTAACCTTAATTGAGAATTTTCTTACGTGACATCGATTGTCTAAGATGTAATTAACTATAGGGGTTTGCCTCTATAGGGAATTAAGAACCCAGATTAATCTAAACCCGGTCTAATCTGTATATTAGATAGAAGAATTTGTTAGTCATAAATTCGCAGACCAAAACAGAGTCATAAACTTTTAAATTTAGATAGTTAAGCCTACCAATAAGTGATACGATCATTCTTTGGAATGATATATCATTTATGGTATCGTGCTCAGCTATTTAAAATATTAGATATATGAGGTATATCCGGTCTCATCATTTTCTAAAAAAAACTAAAATAATATCATTTTCACAAAATTAAAAATTACATTATATATATATATATATATTAAATTCAAATTTAAAATTTTATTTTCAAAAAAATAAATAATTAGCCGACAAAATCCAATAATTTTCCAAGACATCTAACCCACACAATTGAATTAGAGCAACTTTTTTTGTATGTTACATGTAGACCTAATAATATATATTAAAAATATAATTTGTTGATCCAAACATTATTGAGCTAGAGGAATATTGATATCCATAAAATGCTACATAAATGTCCGATCCAACATTCATGATGAGGTCACTCTACTCGCAGGTATCCGCACATGCACTAGTTGTCATTACACAAAAATTTTAAATGATGAAGTTGAATATAAATTATTGGAAAAAGTAAGTGAAATTAAACTTATTATTCTTAGGGTTCAATGGACATGTAGATTTAGTGGCCCAGTGTCCTGCACATACTGCAAATTCTATCATTATGTGTTCTACTCTCATCACTAGTATTTGTATAGCGCCTAATCCATGGCCGTCCAGTTTTTCTTCTTAAAATAGGTGAGAGCAGCTCCATAATACCTTTTGTTGCATCAAATTCTGCCCACTTAATTTTCTATGTGATTACATGAAACTCAGAAGCATATGTTTTCTTATATTATGAGACTGAATAATATTATGACACAAATATGTTGTGATTAAGTTGGTGATGAACAAGTGCTGCAATGAAGTGTGAATAAGAACTATGAAATATTTATTGTCTTCTGCAAGAACATATAGCACCCTCAACATCATCAATCTGAACTTTATATGCATGACAAAAAATATCATAAACCTCATACTTGTGCATGTTAATCTGAACTGGTTTTGGCAAGCTCCTGGCTTTGGACTCCTAGATTTATTTTTTTTCTTTCAACTCAATTGTAACTTAATGCCTCTATAAAAATAAATTTAAAATGTTGTAATAAATGGAGCATATCAGTGCTTCTGTCGACATCCCTTTAGCATGCCTTAGGACGCCATTAAGACCCTCTGAAGCATTTGTTATCATAGTCCCATATGTAAATCCACCGTCATAGAACAAACTCATTTTGTTGGATAAAGCCGCATAAGTCAATTCATTGCTTCTGCTTTATTACTTTTTATCTCTGTCATGTAACGATTGAAAACATGGATATCATCGGTACTACCAACCGAATACATCTACAAATAATCAGTCTCAACATCTGGAACACCCATATTGCGAAGTGCTTTATTGAAATTTTCACGCAAGCCGTAGGCAATATCTATGTGTCGCCCAAGGAAAAATTTCACAACAGATCTTTACAATTCTAGAGTGACAATTAGAGATGATGCATAAGTTTTGTCTTGAAGAAATTGAAGGGATTGTGTCATACAGGATTTGTATAAACCAGCATCATGACTTATTACATTCTGACAAAACAAGAACAAATGCCAGCAAAAATATACCATTGTTAACATCAATAGCAACAATAGTAAGTAACGTACCTCTGTATTTACCCAACAAAAAAGTTTCATCCATACTGATAACTGGTCGACAGTAAATCCATCCAACTGAAAGCCCAAAAAAGTCTTATGAATTGGTTAGATGATCCAACCTAAATTTTATAAACTGAACCTGACATTACAAACAACATTGCTTCCATAAAACGGTATAAGGAATGATAAGACTCTTCTAGCTTCCAAAAATCGTCTTCTAGCATCCCATGTTTTAACATATGATATTTTGATATAAAATTTGAATTCAATACGACCAATGATCTCTTTCGGATTTATATCCAATTGTTGTCGGATAAACAGAAGAATGAATAATAAATAAACTTTGACGTAAATTATATGTGTCAAGTCATCATATTAGGATGTGTGTAACCATGCAGGGTCGTTATAGTAGAAATCCTCCAGACACCCCCAAACATTTTCTACTAAAAGTATGCAGGCGCCGCTGACAAGGTTTATAAGGGCTATCATGTTGCATACATATTACTGTTAAGCGACTCTGATTTGAGTTAATAACCTTATACTCAACATTATTAAGAATTGTTCACCCAACAATAATGCATTGAAGTTCATTTTTACTGCAAAAGAACGTATCTTCTAAGAGCTCATATGGAATAAACCCTTCTTCGGTAGATGTCATGTGCTCTCTAGAACCGTCAAAATCAACATTTTGATCTCACTATTGTGTCGGTTGGTAGTATTGTATTTAATCATTACTACTAATTGTTTCATCTTCTATGTTGCAGTTATGAAATGAATGCTCCTTTATAAGTTCATGTTTATATATATGTGCATTGGCATGCTCCTCAGTACCTTCATGATCCTTCTCATCATCGATATCTTTGTTTTTGTCACTTAAGTCGCTACCCATTGTCTCATATCCTTCAATAATAGGAGATAATTGTACATCTGATTCCAGAGTTCCATGCAAATCTTATGTGGCGCTACTAATCCTTGAGGAATCATAACTAAAAATATTTTTAGAAGCGAAATAAATTTATGTCTCAATAAAAAATATATACAATAATACTTATTGAATTGTATCAACGTTGTTGATAAAGGTTGTGACATTATGTGTTCAATATTATGGTTATATATCTGGATTGGAATAAACTCTACATAAAATATTATAACTTTACTTAAAGCTTCTATCAATACAACTGGGGTCACCTCATTATCATCGATATTAGTTGAAACAAATGCTTCATGGAGTGAGAAATGACATACCATATTGAGAGTATACTTCGAGAAATTATATCTCAATTTCAAAGTATTAAATTTTTCAAATATAGATATGAAGCACCTCATGAAACCTGAATAAGTCTACTTTCACCCCTAAGATATTTTGGCATGAGATCATTAGATATAGTTAATTCTCTATCAGAAGATAGGATCAGCCAAGCATAAGTTTCATTAAGTTTCTCTGTGTGTTTTTGCAAATTTTGAGAAAATGATAGTCAAATCAGTGATAGCATTCTAAAACCGCATGCTATAACAAAAACAAACCCAAAACCTATGAAATTGACTGCATGAATTTTGATATTATTATTAGATAAAATTTAAGTGTTATTGTTTGTTCACATCCACTTAATAGGCTTATACTGTTTCACGATTCCCTATGTTTTTCTACAATTTCATGGAATGATAGAAAAAACAAAAGGATATAATTTTTCCACAAAAGTAAATTTGATGTTTTATATAGTTTGCTATTTTTAAAGTCATCTAAACTATAATTACGTATTCTTACTTCTCAATCATACTTTGCATAACAAATTAAAGTATCTATGTAAGGCTTGATCGTATATGACTAAGGACCTTTACCCTAAAGCTTATATTCCAACCAATCAAGCTGTCATAAGGTCTTGGTTAAATGGAAAACTTGAAGATGGGAGATTAAGAACTCCGATTTCATTCGTACTTGAGAGCAGATTAAGCTACATAAATGGTACACTGTTATAATTCCCTATGGGACTCACTTTTATTGAAAACAAAGAGATTATTAAATCCATAACTATAATGATAAAATCCATAACTATGAACAATCATCAATTTCAATAACCAGCATGATAATATTGAAAAACTAAGAATATTCTACCAAAGATGAGATAGGGGGAAATACCACTAACAGAACAGTAGAAAAAAAATAAAATTTTATAGTGAGAAATATATGGCATCAAAAGAGCCCATTTTGAAACTGTTCAATAGCCTTAAAAGAGAAAATTAATATCAATGAATGCTGAATCAATTCGAAGCATATCTAAAAATATTGATAATGCTTGCATTACAGAAATTTGATCAGAAATAACTGAACTAAGTAATAGAATTTGACTGATGGATGCATAAAGTTCAGAATTTTGTTATAAAAGGAAGATTCTATGCTCACGTAATGAAAACATAAATCAATACTAATTCCGCAACAAAAACACAATAACTGTAAAAATAGGATTTGAAGGAAGAGGAGAAACCAAGGCCACGGCCAAAGCAAGGCGACAAGAGGAGACTACAGAAACAATGACTAAGCACATTTAAGAGGTAGGATGAGACTCTAGAAAAAACCTTCTCCATCTTCCAACCTCCTCTATCGTCGACGGCCAAATCAAGAGGAGAAACTAGGCATGGATAAGGAAAAATTATTGCATACATGCACCGCATGCAGAGATGCATGCGGTGTCCGATCCTGAGAGGAGAAACACATTTACCGTACAGTCGTCAACGGCAGCCTTCATCGCTTCGGTTAGGGCTCTGCTAGGCCTTCGTCGGTTCGCGGCCAGTGGATGTGCAGGCCAAAGGTTCGCGCAGGTGGATGGTGAGACCGACGAAATGCGCCTCTTGAAGGGAAAATTTCATCAGGTGCGACCGTAGTTTACAGCTGGGTCATCTTTGATGGAAAAATAATTTTCCCTCTTGAAGGCAATTAAATTCATGGGTCAATCATCTGGGCCGGACATCAACAAACATGTCAAAGTCTGTCCTCCGTGAATCCAGCCCATAGCTTTATCTATGATTTCAGCACTAAGCCTCGCTACAAAGAGGTGGAATGCAATCGGCTGACCCACCACTCACACCTCGTTAGAAACTTACTCCACTCGGCCCATAATTTTTGTAGACCGAACCAAAGCACGTCAACCAACTGATTACCGTCATACTCAAAATTTAAATATAATATGAATCTAGTAGTAAATCATCACATTAATTGTATTAATAGTGGTTTCCATAATCGCTCATTCTTCCCATAATTTAGGGCAAATTCCATAATCGCTCTCTTTTATCTGTAATTGTACTAGAGGACCTCTTATAAATAGAAGGCTTGACAATGAATAAAGGGGCCCTACTCTGAGGTTTTTTGCTCGGTCTCTCTACTAAAAATTCTCTAACATTCTTCTCTCTCTCTCTCTCTCTCTCTCTCTCTTTCTTTCGGCTCTAACTCTTGAGTCGTGTTCTTCTGCATAGACAAGTTCAGATTCAATATCCTGAAAGGTGGTGCGGTAAGCATAAACATACCCCAGACGAGAAGCTGAGTCAAATACGAAGGAGAATCCCTACATATAGGAATTGTGCTCATGGAATTCAATAGAGAGATGGTGCACCAAGATATACAGAAAAAGTTCCAAGCATTGCGAACTCAAATATTAGACCAATTTGAGGCTCTTCAGGTGGCCATGATCCAGCAGAACACCCAACCACCGCTCATGGAGGGAGAGTCTTGGAGAATCTACCCTTAGAAGACTCCCATCGTTAATCCGTCAGGACTCTAAGGTAGGCATGGAAATTAGTTAACCAAAGGACTAGAGGATTCCCAACGGTAGATAGAGTTGCATCTACGCCGACAATGCCACATCGGGCAGACCGAGTGGGAACATTTGCTTGGCCCATCATGGGAACCAAACCCAAGGTGAAGCTTAGGATTCCGCACTTCGATCCTTATAAAGGGAAGAGTGACTCGGTCGATCACCTTGCTTCCTTTTAATCAATGGTCAGAGTCTTACAGATTGGTGACGCCATGAAGTGTTGATTATTTCTAACCACACTAAAAGAAGTTGTGCTCTGATAGTTTAACAGCCTGACAAATGGAATCATACCATCTTTCTTCAAATTCTGAAAGTTCTTTCTGACACATTTTGCTAATGTGCAAAAATCGAGGAAGATCACAGAGACCCTGCTTCATGTCAAGCTAGGAGAGAATGAGAGACTGTATGCTTACATCAGTTGTTTCCAAAAGAAAATGCTAGAGGAAAAAATTTTAAAGCCCCTCATCACCCGAACTGTCTTGAAGCAAGGAATCTAGAACAAGCAGTTCCGGAATGCCCTGAATATACTCAAGTCAAGGACCTTTGCAGAGGTCTTGGAATTAGCAAACGACCATATCGTCACCGAAGAGGACCTTATGGAGTCCTTGAAGACTAAACCTATAGCATTCAACCACCGATCGCAGAAATCAAAGGATTGAGATGATGACAGAAAGCAAAAAGAAGATCATGCCCTCGGAGGTTGGCAGACCGACCACCCCAAACCTCAGGATGGTTGAGGGGGTGGTTGAGGCAGCAAGGGTCAGCAATACCATCCTAGCCAGCAATCAACTCATTACTATGAGCGACCACACATGTATCGAGAGATGCAAGGGTCAACACCTCTGAACGTGTCAATGATCAAGCTAGTCCAAGCCATTCAAAACAAGGACTACTTTAAGAAAGCCGCTCCACTAAAATTTGCACCAACATCATGTAGTCCAAACAAAGTATTGGGGGAAGAGCTCATCAGAGCTAGAAATTTGAAGAAGTTTTATTGGAGTGCACTCATAGCAATTAGGGAAGGCCCCAGTAAAGGATCCTATAGGTTGACCAGTGCAGGAGAATGAAATTCATCTGGTTGGAATCATCGTGGCTATCTTCGGAGAAGGGTTTATCATTTTCTTCCAAATTTTCTTATCGTAAAGCAGCATCTTTTTTTTTTCTCGATACCTCATTCGTCTTCAACTGTTTAATTCTTGTCATGAGCTCTTCAAAAACTTTTTCTATAAAATGTCATTTAATAGTTTTCATGCCCATGAAAAAAAAACTCCTAGACAATATCCATCCTAGCAATATATGGCTTAATAATCTCAATCTACATAACCTCTGAATAGTCTTCCAAAAAAACTTCTTCTAACTTATCCTTTTTATGTTTAAAAATAAATTCTAACATTGATTATGTTTTATCCATGCATTTGAAGATTTCCTCTATGGCTCGAAAAGTTGGTCTAACTAAATGAGACTTGTATGAGCATAATTTTGATGTAGAGGAGGATTTTGTAGTGGATTAGTATTTATATGTCTGTATTCATGGATTTTCCTTTGCAATTTTGAGATAGTGTGTGAGTGTGTAGCTTATCAATTGCTTGATATGACATTTGTACATGGCGATGCATCATTTTCTATACATCTTTCTTTTGCTTGATATTGTCAGAGCAAAAAATTTGGCATCACTTCTGAGGCTATTGTTAGGTATTATTTTTGCTTCGACATGGGGCTTTCAAATGCTGTGTTGATTCAAAATTTTGGTTGTTCAAATAATCAAGCACGTCATCGAAAGTAGTAAACTATCTTGAAAAATATAACAATCATTTTATGATGATTTTGATTATCCTACCTAAGAAAATATTAGATATCTATACTAGTCTACGGTTTAAACCCGATATATTATTTCCACTATCTAATTTGAAGACTATATAGGGTTTAAATTAGTTCTTGAGTCATCGTCTTCCTATAATGGCAAGCCCATATGGTTATAAACATCTTAAGCAACTGAAGTTACTTAGGAAAATTTTCGATTAAGTTGTGATTCTGTTCTCAAGAAATTCTTAAGTTTAGGTTTCCACGACTGGATATTGAATTTTCAAATGAAAAAAGGTTAAAAGTTGAACAGTTACAATGAAAGATAATATGAGAAAAGGTGGGGGACACTTGAAGATACCGAGGAAACCTCGGTAGTTCAGGGCATTTGACATTTTTAAAGAAAAATTTAATGTTTCATCATAATGTTTTATTAGAATGTTAGGACTTATACTACACAATATACAATCATGCAAGAGCCTTAAAATGAGGATTTACATCATAACAAGAAGAACAACCTCAAAGACCTAAAGTAAAGTTCAATAAGAAAAGTTAAACTTCGGAACACTAACTTAAAAACACAACAATCAAAATACAGTGGACTTACAACCCTGCTTGAAAAGGGTTGCCATCTGAACCACCTAATAGCATTCAAAACAAAAATGACCGGTCCTGATAATGCAATATAGAGTAGGTTGTTATTAATTAGAAGTAATAGGCCTTACGACTTAATTATAAATCAAGTTGTCTATCTATGTATGATATGCATAATGTCCTAAGACTAATGTGAATAATTTTTTAGATTTCAAAGGTAAGTGTTTTATGCTTCACCACACTCAAATGTTTAGTTGTATTTTAATTAGTTTTGAGTACATTGAAACAAGATGTGTAATGGGTTATGCAAGCCATTGATGATGAATGCATAGAATATATGTTTTCAAAAAGTCAATTGGTATGCATAAGTAAAACTCAACTCTATAGGGTAGTGGTTTTCTTGAAATATCTGCAATTTGAGAAGTTAAAAATATTTAGTATATTATCTTTTTAATAATTCATAATTTCTATAACAGCTTCTTAAGATCTTTTCTATTTCCTAATCCTCCTAATAGTTCTCTTTATTACTGAGTCGTATGATTCAAGGTTTGCAGCTCCTGAACTACGCATATAAATCTAGAGACTTAACTAATATGATGGATATCAAGCACGTTAAACAATGAAAAATATTTTTGGTATTTATATATATATCACAATAATGAAACACGTTAGATAATAAAACTAAAATAGCCAAATCTAAGTCTTCTAAGTTCAACTAAAATTCTCCTAAAGTTATCACCGTAGCTTCCCTATAACGACGCCAAAAACTTGATAGACCTTAGTGCTACACACTGATTCAAGCTAAACAAAACTTGACCAGAATCACAATTAGACAGTAATTTAACTTTCAAAAGATGACAAAAAACTTGACCCAATTTATATTTAGCGGTTAGTGTGTCAAATCGATATGTTATAAAATTTAGAATTTTTTATTAATAGTTTACACACTATGGGTACTACGCAAGTATATGTATCGTTTCAAGTAAAATTTAGTTTTCTCTAAAGACCACAATATCAATCCCACAGAGAAGCGAGGTAAGAAATTTCTTAGGCGAAATCATCATCTACTACGATCAGGTATTAGTTTGGAAGGTCGATTAAGATGATATTTTATCTAGCAACTACTCTTAAATGCGAATATTAAATATAAGGATAACAGTTATTCCTAAATGCAAATATTAATTCTAAAGATAACTTATTTGGATAAATTGGTTTGGTGAATTATAAGATGTAAAAACACTATTCTCAAGTGCGATGACAGAGAAAATGTGAAGGAATGGAATGCATAGAATTTAATGTACCAGTAAAAAATAGGAGCATATATATTATTTACCTCTTTCGAGCATAAAGAACATCGACTAATCTAAAGTTAGTGTTGACATGTATAGTATTGTTAGGTAGGTTCTAGCCTTTCACCTCTAGAATACCCAATGTGCTCTCTCTATATGACATACCAGTGACCCTTAGTTCCAACTCTAAACCAAATTGATAAAAGAATCTAGCCTGTCACATTAGAAACATCAATTTCATGTCCATCAAATCTTATATCCCTATCTATTTACACGCCCCCTCGGATCGTCATGGCTCTTTCCAAAGTGAAATGTGATACTTACTAGTTGGAATAATCTTAGCCCTCTCGGGTTTGTAAGTTTCTCAACAAGTTTTAACAAAATAAATAGCCAATTGACAACAATTTGCAAAGTAAATTAAGAGCCAGTGAAAATACCATCACATTTATGAAATAAGAGAATTTCTAAGCAAATATAAATTTCTAAACATGCATCCAATTCATTGGAAAAGAAAAGTAAAAAGAAGATAATGACATAAGCAGTAAAAGTACTGATAGAATTATATAATAAGTTATGTGCCAATAAGAAACATATATTTACTTACCCTCTTTCGAGTGTATATGTACGCTTAGTATTCTATTAGTTTTATGCAATTATCTGTCACTTAGAAGCATCTAATAGAAACAAATCATTAAATTATATTTACTTAAAAGTTGCATTACTGCCCAAATTACTTTGCAATAGCTAGCCGGACAATGTGAGTGCACTGTAGTTGCGAGATCACCACTTTCCCAAGTCTTAGTTTCACTTACAACAAATTTTAGCATAACTTATTTTCACTTAAGTTATGTCAATGAAGCAAAGGAGATATTACTCTTCACATGAAAATAAGAATTATTCTATCATAAAATAGATTTTCTTAAACATGTCACTACTTCATATTAAAAGAAAAGAGCAAAGAAAACTACTCACGAAATATGGATAAAGCTCATAAAACTTTGTTAAATCAAAGAAAATCCACTAGAAAGTATTTATAATAATCACAAGGTAATGCAAAACACAATATTTAGTTTTTTTCTTCTGAAAGAAAGATGAAACATCTCTCCAAAAATGTCCACTGTCGATCCATGTGTCGCTCATACTTCCTTACTCATATCTCTCAAAATCCCTCAATAATTTCTCTAGAAAATAAAAAAAATCTACATCTCCATAAACTCACACCAAACTCTTTCTAAAAATCTCCTAAAAACTCCTAAAATACACACTAATTACATTCCATTAGAGGCGCGAGCCCCCTTATTTAAAGAGAAGTCAAACACCTAATTTTTCTAAAAGACACACCCCTTCACTCCAAAAGACACATCCTTTCACTCCAAGAGACACATCTATTGATTAAAAAACCTTTCCAAGTGTCTAGACTTAATATCATCTTAGGGCGTGCAAGTTGCCTAAAGCTTCAAGAACATCCTAAAACCACAAAAAACCGTCAAAAACCTCCCCTTGACTGATTCTAGCGCCTAAGCACCATTTTCAAAGCCTAGGCATTGTTTTCTCGTCATCGCTGGAGCCTAGGCACCCGTTTTGGGTGCCTAAGAGCCACCCTGTAGGCTGGTGGACCCTGTAGGCAGATCCACCATTTCACCCTATTTTGCTTCATTTCAACTTCATTTCATCCCGCTTCAGCTTCGTTGCGCTCCAAATTGTTATTTACACATGAAAATAACATTTATTTAAAATATAATTTCATTCAAAAATATGTGATGAATGTAAGGGAGATTAAACATAGAAAGACATATCGAAATGTATCAGGTCAAAATTTTCTTCCTTGTTCGTTTTGACTGAAATTGCACTATTTTTGCTTCATTTTCTTCAAAAACCTATTTCTTGTTTCTGGAACCAAAATAATGCAAAATACATTTCTTTAAGGTGAGATATCATAAATAATGTGCATAAAATGAATATTAAATGTATATTGAAAATATATAATTTTTCAGGCGGATCAATGTGCACGGGTATTTTAGTAAAGATAGCAATAACGAGCCACAGAGGTCGTAATCAGTTCCTATGGAGACATTATTCCACTATGAATGTTTTAAGTGGTGGCTTTTATGTTAGCTTGTCATAGAGGTCATAGTTGAAATTTGTGGTAGTAGTTGGCGATGTAGACTGGAGATGGTTACTTCAGAAGCGTTGTTTAACCAGAACAACAGTAGAAAGGAGCTGCTTGAGCTATGAACAATGTAAGTCATAGTTTATCATGTAGGTTGTAGTTGTGAGCTAAAATAACATCATGGGTGTTATAAAATGGGGTTGGGAACTGCATGAGTTGTTACCCATATAGGCGATAGTGACGAGCTATAATAGTGTCTTGTGAGCTAAAATAACATCATGGGTGTTATAAAATGGGGTTGGGAACTGCATGAGTTGTTACCCATATAGGCGATAGTGACGAGCTATAGTAGTGTCCATAAGCTACAAAGATTGGAGTTAGGAGTTGCATGCATTATGAGCCGTGTAGGATGTAGTTGGTCACATATGTTATTATGGTGAGTTACAATAATATTTATGGGCCACAAGGTCATAATTGGGAGCTCCAAGAGCTATCAGACATGTAGAACGTAGTTGGCCATGTGGGCTATACTGGTGAGCTGTAAAAGAGTCAGTTGGCCACCAAGGCCATAGTAAGGGACTGCAATTAAAGTGAATCACATTGGTCGTAGACCATAGTGGAGACTTGTGAAGATTTAAATTCAAGAGTTCAGAGAAGGTCATTTTATGTTAAGTATGACTATTGTAAGTAGTTATTGCAGGGAGTTACATCGCACTCAAGGTGAGTTGTTACACTATTTTTAGGATGTGTCGTTACACTGTCTTCAGGGCGCGTCATTCTATTTGTGTTCAAATTGATGCACTACTATGTAAGGTGCTTCATTTCTTTACAATGTTGGTCATTACTCTGCATTGTGCTTAGTTACTTCATAGTGTACATCATTACTTTGTGAGGGGCTTCATTGCAATGAGCAGGGGGTAGCTAGCTGTGGTGATGATACCCGACGAGTGGTGGTTGATGAAAGTGTGGTTTTTGGAGCGGGAAGCATTCATCAGGTCTTCGATTCAGAATCATACTAGAATTCAACTCATTCTTCATCCGATCTAGCTCCTTGTTTAACTATTAGCCCCGTTTCATGAAAATGGTTGGACTTTATTTATAGAGTTTGGGAGAGGTTTCTCTGTAAATAAAGAAGGAATTCAAACCACACTATCAAACGATCCAAAGAGATTTCCTCAATTAGATGATTTTTGTGGACATTTGACTACCACAACGACTTTAGAATTGAGTGACATTGAGCTCACTAGATTTGTTTTATTGAGATACTTTATTTGACTCTAAGCTTGTCAAATTTGGAATCCGTTTGAACTCCCTCTAATTATCTACTTAAAGATTACAATATTAATTTAATGACTTGATCTGGGCTTGATTGACTAGGATTGGATCAATTTTGGTGTCATTGTGTTTGTCTTGTCGAGTAGGTTAGCTTGACTATATGTTTGAAAAAACCAGACTTCTAGATGATTTTTAATTTAAGTTTGAATAATTCTTGCTAAAAAATATCTTAAGATTCATGCTAATAGCCTTGATATTTGTGTCAAATGACAAACTTTATAGTTAATATGTCAAATATGCAAAATTTGAATTGTATGAAGCTAAAAAAAAGGTTTTTAGGTGTTAGATATGTAAATACATAGGAAGTAGGTGGTAGCCCCTAAAAGTTAATATGAATTTTAAACTAAAATTACAAGATTACAAATTTTTAAAATATAATATTTTTTCATAGATAAAATAAATGAGATAAAATATTAAGTTTTATAAATATAACTTACATTTAGAAGTAATCAATGTTGCCCATGATTACTTCATTCTTTCAATCACGAGTCGATCAACTTGGAAAAGCTTGCTCTTAAATAGCAGCAAAAACTCTTGTCCACCCTGGCTTACTTGGTGGTCTTCTTGGGCTTCATAACTATCTGGTTATCTATATTTATTGCCACTATGATACAAGAATTGATACTTACTGGGCTCTTTGCTGCTTTATATTTTTCGGCTTAGAACACATGTTCCATGGTGTTATTGAGTGTTTTGACTGTCTTGTGGGTCTCTAGACTTCTCATTTTTGCATATCATTTCAGTAGCTTGAATTAATATCAAATTCACTAAAATCTTAACAACTTTTCTTGTCTGCTATGACCACCACAATATCAAATTCTACTTTATTGACTGTTGGAGAGTTCATTTGATCTAGAGATGCATGCAGAGTACCATAAGACATTTTAGATCCTCAACTAATCTTTTTATATTTAGATGCTAATTTTGTTTTATTATTTTATTATTTCTTTGATGTTTAACTTCTTTTATTTTTTATGGTACAAGTAAATTTTTACATTTTAATGGTTTTACTTGGGCTGTATACTCACCACCATACTCACCACCCCCACCCCTTTTTCAAAAAAAAAAAGAAAAAAAAACCCGTTGTGCTCCTCCTCTCTCCTATATAATGTTCAGACGCCACTAGATTGTCTTAGCCTCTGTGCCTATTAGGGTTTTTTTCTCTTTCCCGCGTCGGCGGACGTTAACGACGATGGCAGCAGAAGGGAGGGTAAATTCGGTTCAATGCTTCGGCCGCAAGAAGACGGCTGTTGCCGTGACCCACTGCAAGGCCGGCAAGGGCTTGATTAAGATTAACGGTGTCCCGATCGAGCTCGTGAAGCCGGAGATCCTCCGGTACAAAGCCTTTGAACCCATCCTCCTTGCCGGAGTTGAACGCTTTCGTGGCGTCGATATGCGCATCCGCGTACGTGGTGGTGGTAAGACCTCTCAGATCTACGCCATCCGCCAGAGCATCGCGAAGGCTCTCGTCGCGTACTACCAGAAGTACGTAGACGAGCACTCCAAGAAGGAGGTAAAGGACATCTTCATAAGGTACGACCGCACGCTTCTCGTCGCCGATCCGCGGCGCTGCGAGCCCAAGAAGTTTGGTGGTCGCGGTGCTCGGGCAAGGTTCCAGAAATCTTATCGTTAGGTCTGCTGTTGGGTCGGTTGGGAATGGAGTCGTCTCATCCTTATTCTCGTTTTTTTGCAAGTGGAATTATATAACATTATCTTATTTGAAAGAACTTGATGTCAATTTTGTTTATGGAACTAAAAAATTTGTTCTCCTGCATGATGTTATTTTTCATTTCTTCAAGTTTTCTCATTTCTTGGATACTTCAATAGGTATTTATGATTGTTCAACATAATTCTTCTTTTTTCCTTTTGTTTCCTTAGGTTTATTGTAGGTATGCTTTGTAGTTTTAATTTCTGTCTGTTTCATTTAACGTTATTTGAGTATGTGGTTATGGTTTCTATACAATTATCATATGTTTCAGACGCAGTTGTCGTTCCTTATCTTGACTTAAAAAGCTAAGTGTTTTAGCACTTTGCACGACTTCTATTGGGCTATGATATTATTAACTCGCCCATGCGACCAATCACTGGACATCAAGGATGATGACTAAACTTCTGGGAGTTTTTTTATCCATTACCGCCTCTGTTTAACCTGCAGGAAATGAAACTCAATTGCTATGTTTCTCTTGTTGTTCTGCTTGTCTTCCACTGTTTCTCGTTCTATAGCTTTTTGTTTATTCTCTAAGGGCAACTGGTGCTTCTGAGTTTCTCATATGCTGCCAATCATATATATGGTTGTCCTGTTGGGGTTTTGCAGTCATGCTGAAAGATACCAGAATTGTCTCCAAAAATTTGGACGATTCCTTGGAACAGCTCGCATCACATGGTGCACATCTTCAATCTATTGGCAATATTCTTCAGGAAATCTATTGTCAATTTGTTTCATGTTGCATTTCAACAAGAACAACTACATGGGTCTGTTAAATGATTTCATTTAGATGATTCTAACAATATCAGAAACACAAATCTTTGCTCCATTATTCACCACAACTCAGTTGGATCATTCAAGGGTTCTATTTTGAAATTTTCTGGTGGAAATCCTGAACCCGAGATTTATAAGAAAGATCAATTCCATGGTTTTCATAACGTTTTTCTCAGGCAACCTTCTTGCATCACATATATGTTTGTTTCAGCACTCCACATTATCATGTTTTTTATGGAGTGCTTTCTAAGCTCACTTAACTTTCCTCAATACAAGATTTTTAGTCCAAGTTTGAACAATACCCTAATCACGTTATCATAGTAGAAGACTTTTTCTTACCGAAAAAAAGAAAAAAAAGAACTTTGAATTCTGAGTTAGTGTGTATATTCACTGCGAGGTATGCATGCATTTTCTGAAATTTTTGGATCAAGCTATTTATTTAGCTGAGCTAGTTAATGATAAGTTTTCCAATACTTCATACACACAATCAAATCATCCACCAATAACTAGTATCACAGTTGGGTTTTTGCTTATTCCAGGCACCCTTCTGTCTTGGGTAATCCATAAGATAATTTGCCATCACCGGCTAGAAAAATCATCATTGTTGAAGTAGTGGAAAGGCACTAGAATGAATTTTGTTTTAGATTTAATTTATGATTAATCTCAACGACATTTGGAAGACAAGAAAAAGCTTCTATTGAAGAACGATGATGTAGATTTTGAAGACCCTGTTTTTATTTGTTTAGATCCAATCTTTTTACCATTTGCTCCTTTTTTCTCCAACAATTACTTATCGTGCTTTCATAGAATTACCTGTCCCTATGAACTTTAAGGATTCACGGTGAAGTCACTGGTAATCCTGTTAAAACTTCTTAAGATTTTGGTGGGTGATGGAGAATCATTAAACTGCATGACTAAGCATTCACTAGTTGATTTATCACATCGATAATTTTGTTTATTTTTCAAATTGTATGTTCTCATTTGACGTGTTGTGATCTCTTGGGAGTTTGATAGCAAAACAAAACTAATGCCATTCCCATGGTGGACTTTTCTCTTACAGCTGAACACATTTAATAGCATCAATTATGATGATTAACTACTAATCCTGTTGCTTTGTACCTTAATTTAACTCAATTAGTTTCAATAACCTTAGCTTGCTTCACACCTCTTTTAATGCTATCAATTCTTGGAGTTTTCCAAACCATATTCTCTATATAATATCAATCCCTTCAAGTTACAGGCCATTAAATTATCATTGAATCAGGTTACTGATCCTAATCGGTTTTCAATTTTTAACTGTTGATGAACTTTTAGATGAACTGTTAGATGAACTTTAAGAAGTTATAGGTTTTTTAAGCTTGATTTATGTTACTGATATAACCAACCTCGTGCGATTGCACTTTGAATGCCATTATGAATTTCTTGTAGTGGTCTTTGGTTTGTCGAATGCTTTGACAATTTTTCATCTTGTTATGAATGATATACGCTTAAATCATATATTAGAAAATTTATTTTGTTGTTGTTTTGTTGAAATTGGTGTAGGTGTAATTAATGAAGCTAATGAAATTAATTTTAAGATATGATCTTGGAATATAGGTACTCTCAATGGAAAATTAATGGAATTAGTTGATATTATGATTCATAGAAAGATTAATATTTTATGTAAACTAAATGAATACAATCTACGAGATTGATAACTTAGGTTTTAAACTTTGGTATTCTGGTAAGAGTCGCACTAGAAATGGTATAAGTGTAATTATATATTAGAGTTTGAAAGATAATGTTGTAAAAAATTAATAGAGTTGGAGGAGATTTAAATGGACATGCTTATTAAGATTATCATTGATACTAAGATTTTTAATATTATAAGTGCTTATGCTCCTCAAGTAGGTTTAGGTATAGGGTCTAAAGTTAAATTCTGGAATGACTTAGAAGACTTAATACAAATGATATCTCTTGAAGAAAAAACTTGAAGAAAACTTGAAGAAAGAATTTTTATTGGGGGAGATTTAAATGGACATGTCGGTAGAGTGGTAGAAGATTTTAAAAAAATTCATGGTGACCACGGTTTTTGAGTGACTAATGAAGAAGGAAGAACTATTTTAGATTTTACTTTAGCATATGATTTTGTTATTACTAATACTTTTTTTTAAGAAAAAAGATGAACATTTTATTACTTATAAGAATGAATCTAATGAAACACAAATTGATTATTTTCTTATGAGAAGAAGTTATCGTCGAGATTGCAAAGATTGTATGGTCATTCCAATTGAGGATTTAAGTACTCAACATCGTTTATTAGTTCTAGATTTTAAGATGAAGAGTTGTAAAATAAAAAAAAAAATACTAGGACTCATCTTTGTAGAATTAGATTGGGAACCTAAAAGACATAATAAAATTATTTTTATGAGTAAAATTCAAGATTTTACAATTTTGGATATTCATGATGGATGTTCATGGAGAAGCGAATTTTATGTGAGATCATAACAAACACTATTAAACAAGTAACAAAAAATATATTTTGAGAATCAAAAGAAAAAATTTCTTTAAATAAAAATAGTTGGTGGTGAAATAATAATGTGCAAGAAAAGATAAAATATAAGAAGTTTGTTATAAAATATTGTTTAAATGTAAAAGCTTAGAGAACTGCGAAAAATATAAAATGATTTTTAGGGAGTCTAAAAGAATAATCTGTGATGCTAAAAATTCTTTTTTTAATGATCTTTATAATAGATTAGATGTTCAAACTCTCGTTGTATAACAAAAGAAATCTCTTATGTATAAAGTAGCCAAACAAAGAGAAAAGAAAAGAAAAAATGTTTGGTTCGTTTAACTAACCAAACGAAAAAAATTTGTTCACGTTCGTCTCGTTTACTTATCAAACGAATCGAACACAAACTCATTGACGAACCGAACACGAATTGTTCGCGAACAACGAGCTTTTTTGACAGCCTTACGCAGAATGAAGCAAAGCAATGATTTTTTACTATTTAGGTTAAAGGTTTTTCATCATTTGAAAGCCTATTTATTTATAGATCAAATATTATGACTTACATTATTGACTAATTCTTCATTTAAAATCAAAATTTATAACAATCAATGAATGTTAACCGCACTAGTCCAAAATGATATGATAAATTCTAAAATGTCAGGTACAACCGTCCGCAACCCCCCATTCACAATACAAACAACTTCACCTCCTCATTCCTCCCCATGCCTCAAAATAACCATCCACATATGCGGTCAATGTTCTACTGTTTTCCATTATTAAAGTGTATTAAAGATGAAAATAAAAAAAAATACTTTCTTAGAAAAAGATATTTAACATAGGTGGGTGAGTTATTTTGATAAAATTTTTAATGAAGTTTCTGAAAATCCGATTTACTTTAGTGATCTTAATATCATTAATAATAATAAAACATTTCGTTTTTACCGTTGCATTGTAAAAAAGAAATTGAGGAAGTTGATGATGCTTTAAAGAAGCCAAGGATGGAAAGTCTGTAGGACCTAATGATATCCCAATTGAAGTATGGAAATGTTTAGGAGATTTTGCAGTTTCTTGGTTTACTAAACTCTTTATTATTATTTTAAAAACTAGAAAGATGTCTGAGGAGTGGAGGAAGAGTATTTTGTGGAGGAAGAGTATC